TAGGCATAATGATTTTACAAAGATATAACAATAAAAAAAATTGGAGTGCACAAAATAACTACATATCATACCCTTTTGAATTTCTATTTGCAACAGTTATTTCAAAGGACATTGTTATTTATAATTTTAATACTTAGTATTTTTAGTAAGATTGCTTGTAATCAGTACCAGACAACACAATCTATACATATAAAGAAATAAAGATGAATAAATTTTTCGGGCAATAATTTTGCTGGGATGTAGATTTTGATTTGTAACCAGTTGTATCAACCACATTCAGAAATAGAAGCAAAAAGTGGCTTCAACAGCAGCCCACAACAGTAACAGAAGATCTTTCAGTGGCGTCAAAATCAACACAGTGCAGCCAGTCAAATTATCTTTTTAGATGTTAAATCTTGTTCGTAGCAAAGTATTCTATGACATATCACCTAGAGGCACGTGATTTCTATTAAACTATTCTGAGTTTCCTCCTCCCTTTTTAGTAACAAAATAAACCCAAAGTAGGATCAAACCGAGAGTTGTAGCATAAACAAAGATGGGTGTGTGAATGACAAATATAAGTTTCCTATTTTCACAGGAATCAATGGGATTATTTCAAATTGTTCAAGATGGGTTGGAGACGATCTATGTTAGATCCTGTGAAATAAGTGATTTATCCATTTGAGGCATTTATTGACTCGCATATTATAACAAATAGATGCGAGAAAAAGTAAATTTTCCGGCATGCAAATAGGGAACAATTATGACGGCAAATGATTTAGGTAATATAGCCGGGAAAATACTAAACCATTAAACATACTATAAAAGTAAAACAATGATATTCATTCACTTAAATTCACCTCCTTGCAGATTATCTTTCTTTCTATTTCTTTAAGTGTTGACAATCCTATGTTTCTAAGATTACTGGTCTTCTAATCCAATAACTATGAAAAATAATGTGATTTTTTTAAAAACATAAGCAATCTGTCAGAGTAGCTACAAAAGAACGTGCAGCTAAGTGATCTATCAAGATGTAAAATATTTTGACATATTTCTTTCTTTCTAATTTATCTCTTTCCAAAGAGGACATTATTAATTGGTTAACTCAGTAGACAAATATTTTATCAAAATCACTACTTTAAGCTTGCCCTTAATTTTAGAAACGGATAAGGGTCAAAATTATCCCTATCGTTTGCTAAATGGTTTATAAATACCTTCCGTCTATCTATCCGTTCAAAAAAATACACTCCGTCCATCTATCCGTTCAAAAAAAAAACACACGAAGTTAGTTCTATTATCAAGAATACCCCCGCGACTAACGGCAGAACTGATGGAGTGTATTTTTTTGAACGGATAGATGGACGGAGAGTATTTATAAACCATTTAGCAAACGATAAGGATAGTTTTGGTCCTTTTCCGTTCATTTAATGACATGACAATTTTTAATTGGGCTACATGGCAATCTTTTACTGCAATCTTTTCCCTATTTACCTGGTCCAACCCTATTTATTTGACCCGCCTAATTATTTTCTTTCTTTTTCTTTGCTTTTTTTTTCCTCTCTTTTTCCTTATCACCCAGCACACCCACTCTCATCTCACAAATTTTTTTTAGCGTTTCTTTGTTGAAACAAATCTTTCTTTGTGTTTGAAAAAATGGCTTTGGCTTTCACTTCATCTGCAATTCATGGCTTTTTGTCCTCCTCCTCTTCTTCTTATGAACATCCCAAAGGTAACCCTTTACTTTTTTTTTTTTTACCTTTAATAGATTCAATCTTTATCCTAGAATGTGATAATTTCAAGCTTTTTAGCACCCTGGTTTCAATTTTCTTGTGTGTTTGTATCAGTTATATGTAGTTATTTTTTCTCTGTTATTTCGTGGCTCTTTTGTCTTCTTATGAACAATCCAAGGATTTTCATTACTTGTCCCTTTCAAAGTTTCAATATTTCTCCTAGATTTGATTGATATATTTGGACAATTTTAGCATTTGGGCTCAATTTTTTTTGTTTCAGATTTTTGTTTTGTTTTGATCCTTGTCTTCTTACTTAACAACCCAAATGTATCTGTTGATTTTCCATTTAAGAGTTTCAATACTTATCATGAGTTTGATTGGAGAAATTTCAGAATCTGATTTGAATTTCGGGTTATTTGATTTTGGGTTATATCTATTCTTTAATTAATTTGTTATTGTGTGTATGCAATGTCCCAATTGGAGAAGAAGAAAGAGGGAGATCAGATGAGTGAGAATGAGTGTGATAGATACTACCCATTTTTGTAAAGGGGTCGGATAAGGTAAATGAGTTGAAATAATATCCATTTTTTGTTAATAGAATTAACTTCGTGTATTTTTTTGAACGGATAGATGGACAGAGGGTATTTATAAACTATTTAGCAAATGATATGGATATTTTTGACCTTTTTCCGTTTTAAAAATCCAGTTAATTGAAATTTAGCATACTTCAACACAGTGCTTCAATTCACAAAAGATTGTAGCAATTTTCCGTCATCACACACATCAACTAAATTACACCGCGAGGTCATATTAACAAAAATCACATGTTGGATATCGAAGGAGAAATAGTATGCACCACTGTACACATGAATTATAATATTGGGCGAAATACCTGAATGAAAAAATAAGCACACAATGCTTTTTAGCCTTCTCATATTGCATTATATTATGGATCTTTATAAGAAACTTCAAGAATACCCAGAAGAACAAAAATTAAAATTGAAAACTCAGAAGATTACATAAAACTTTTTATTATTCTTACCGGAGATTGTCGTTGGATATTAGTAATTGGTATGTTTTTTTAAAAGGAACAAACAGAAGAGAGCATGTAAGAGTTGTACCTCTTGCCATGTATGCAATAAGCATTAGTTCGAATTTGTTTGGCCCTGCATGTAAGTTAAAATCTTAAATTAGTTTTTGTATATGTTCATGCACATGTATGAGCAGAATGTATTTTTTTTGGATATGTGTTATTCACAAAAAAGCACATCTACAATACCATGTCCTTAGCACAGTAGCGCACGGGAATGGAGGATTAATTGATCAGTGGAGAAAAAGTAAAACTACATCATAGTTGAATCATTAGTGAAAATAGCCAGAGGTATATACTCACTGATTGTCCCTGATGATAGATTCTTGGATTTTCCTTTCATTTGAAGCATATCTTGACGGGCTACTATTAATCACAATGGCAAGGACATCTTGAATTAAAAAATAAGGGTGAATAAGTTAATAGATAATGGAAGTCAGTATATTATAATTAAAAAAATAAATTTTAGATGCAGAAAGAACAGACAGTTAAACCTTCAATTATAAAATTCGGATACCTTGAGTTGATACTTGAAACTGTCAAATGGTGCACGAGTTAGTCGCGTCGGCGTCCTCACAAGGATTGATCATTTCTATTGGCTGAAGGAACGTGCTCCTATCAATTGTTCAAGTGAATTTCTTAATTGGATTTCCACACATATAATCTTATTCGTTAACTTGTGCAACAAACACCAAGTAAGTACGGAAAGGATGAAACAGATCTTCAAAATGTGTTATTTCAGCGTTGAATATAATGCCTTGGACTTGGTTTTCCTGTGACAATATAAGACACTATTAGGATACCCAAATCTGTATAACGTGAATAATATTTTTCTAAAATTCATGATTGTCTTGTAATTTTTAAGCAAATATATAAACAGGCAGTAGATTAGCTCATTTATTGCTGGCAATTTATGAAACTACCTTTTCATCATGCATAATCAGAAGTTGATACCTTTTAAGTTATCCATAAATCTGCCTTTATCAACTACCTGAACTCTACAAGTCCATTTTTTTATTTCCGAAGTAATCGCATTGATATTAAACCTTTCTTTCATGTTAAAATAATCTGCAATTACAGTATGTTACAGTATAACAATATGTTTGAACTCTGATATAACACACAATAGCCATGAAATTGCATAATCAAAAGTATATGAAGAACACAAAAAATTACAAAATTCTAAAAATCAACAAGGTTATAGCGTAAAATGCACATTTACCACCCGATTTAACACACCGGTCATTGAATTGCAAAATTAAAATTCATGCAGAGAACCCAAAAGATAGAGCAAAAAAGTTAAAAGAAGGGAAAAATAAAGAGCATCCACATAATCTTAACACCAATAAATATACCCAATGTAGCGGCAAATCAACGTTATTCTTTATATTTCTGAATATCTCATAAGTGATGGGCTAATCCTTAACCGGTGACAACAAGTGCTCTTGTAAGTATAAGCCCGAATTTCAGATCAAATTCATGAGAAATAAATAACCTTCCGAGACCAAACTTCAATACAACAGAAGTTAATACAAAAATAAAGGATTTTTCTTGATTTCAATTCATCTCCGCAAAAAAAAAAAAGAAACCCCAATTTCATCCATCAAACCCGTAACTCGAAAATATGTCTTTAATTCACTCTATTTTCATGAATTTGAAACAAAAAAGAAGGAGAAACAGATAGAAATAGGGGTGGGCATAAAATATGAAAAATCGAATTCCGAACCGAACCGAATTAATTTGATATTTCGGTTTCGGTTTTTTTCGGTATTTCGATCTAATTCGGTATTAAAATTCTGAAATTTCGGTAAAAAATACCGATTTTTAAAAGACATTTTCTTAATAACCCAGCCCAACGCCCAAGCCCAAACCTTGATTTATTTAATTCCCAGCCCCAGCCCATCGCCCCAGCCCACTCTAAACTCTAATTTCTAAGGGTTAGCTTGCTTAGCTGGTTAGGGAGGGACTTAGGTCTTAGGGCATTAGTAGCCATTTATCAATTTAAACTTAGAGAGAGTACATTATACAGTCTTGAGCGGCGATTTGGGCATTTGGGGATTTCCGACTTCCTGGCGATTTCCGACTTCCGAGCTCCGACTCGTCACTCCTCACCCCTCACCCCTCAGTCCTCACTCACGCTGCTGTTGCGACTTGTGAACTTGCGATAATTTCAATTTTCAAAGGTATGTTTTTGCCTCTTTTCTTCTTGGATGAAATTCGTGATTGTGCAAAATATTTATATATGTTGTAACTTGTAAACCAGTTTTCTTTTCTTTCAAACTGATTAACAATTTACATATTTGGTTCTGGTAACTAATTGTGAATTTTAAAGCTTTTATCACGTAATTTTTTTCGTGTAGTCTGTGTTCAACTAGGAGTAATTTTCCGTTTCTTTTTCAATTCATGGAAACTGGAAAGGAGCTATGATTGACTTTATTCTCATAGAAAATAAAGAGAAGACATTAGTTGTCAAGTACTAAGTATACTTCCTTTAAACATGATGACAATAATAATAGCATATCACATGCTGCTATGAAAAAAAAAAATACAGAAGAATCCAAATTGTATGACTGATATTTGAGGGTAAGCAAATACATTATGATTTATTAAGTTCCCAAACTCTTCCTTAAAATAATCCAAACATGTTTAAGATATTGGTGAGTGAGGGGAGCCGAATCCGTACCGAACCAAATTAAGAAATACCGAACCGTACCGAAATATTTTGGTATGGTATTTGGTATACACAATTGATAAACCGAATACCGAACCGAAATTCTTAAATACCGAACCGAAATACCGAATGCCCACCCCTAGATAGAAAGCAACAAAATTGATGTTAAAGAGCAAGAAACGCACCTGCAAGTCGAAGAGATGAGGAGGACCGAAGATCATCTCGAGAAGCTCTGTAAATTGTTATGTAAAGAAATTGGATAAAAACCCACACCTTGAATAACCTAAAAACTACACGTAGTATTTGTGTAAGTAGAGAAAGGGCACGTATAAAGATGATGTAAAATGACCTAAATGTCCTCAAGCTTTGTTGAAATGATTCCAAGCACACATGTCGAAAAACTCTCTCTTCTACAGAAGAGAAAAGATAGATTTCCTCTACCCTAGCCTATTATTTCATTTCACCCGCTCAGCGCCTCAGCCGCTTCTGTGCTCTCCGGATTCTGAAGTCTGAAGTTCCTCAAGAGTCAAGCCTCAACGTTTTTAGCATAACTCTTCACTCAAAATTTTCTTCACTCAAAATTCCTCCTTTTTCGGTTTCTCCCACAGATCTGGTAATTCTCTTTCTCCAAATAGGTTCTTTCAGTTTTTAGAATTTTGTTCTTCACGTTTTTCTTGTTTGCATTTCACAGATCTTGTTTGTATGTGTTTCGTTAGTTTTGTACTTGAGAATAATTGAAATGAAAGCTTTTATACACATCCTTTGTTTGGTTATATTGTATCTATAAGAGTTCAATCAGCTCTTTTAGTTCATCATAAATGCCCTTTTTTCTTGAATTTCAGTTAAGTTTTTTATTTTTATTTTGATATATAGATTGAAGAGCGATAAGTGCTGACTTCGTCTTGCTTTGCTTCATTCAACTCGTTTAACTGTTAAAGACTGTAAATTGCATTCTTCATTCACTTCACATGGCTGAAAATGATAAAATTGATAAAGTGGTTGATGAAAGTAGAGGTTCCGAGTCTACTGCTGCAACTACTCACTCGAAAGTTACAAAACAAAGGATAAAACGATCTCGGGCATGGGATTTGTTTGGAGAAAAAGTTGATGCTAAAGGAAATAATAAATACGTATGTAGATTTTGTGGACAAGAATATTTTGTGACAAAAAGCAAAAGTATGACACAAATGAATAGTCATGTCGATAAATGTCCAAAGAATCCTTATAATGTTGAAAAAGGTCAAAAACTATTACAATATCAAGCATTACTGGGGGTAATAAAGGTGATCTTATTCCATGGAAATTTGATCAAGAAGAGTGTAGGATGACTTTGTGTTGTATGGTAATTGTTGATGAACTTCCATTTAGTTTTGTTGAGAAGGAAGGCTTTAGAAACTTTATGAAAGTGGCACAACCTTGTTTTCATATTCCTTCCCGTACTACTGTTACACGGGATTGTTTTACTTTTTTTAATGTGGTAAAAAACAAATTAATGAAGTTTCTTAAAGGAACAAGTCAAAGAGTAAGTCTTACCACTGATACATGGACTTCTATTCAAAAAATTAACTATATGTGCATCACAGCACATTGGATTGATAGTGAATGGATTATGCATAAAAGAATTTTTAACTTTTCTCCAATTACTAGTCATAAAGGTGAAGATATGGCAAGGTGTATTATTGATTATTTGCGTGAGTGGGGTTTGCAAAAGATTTTCACTGTCACAATTGACAATGCTAGTTCAAATGATGTGATTGTGGAGAAGTTGTCGGACAAATTAGATGATTGGGCAACCAATTCCATGAATGGTCAACACCTTCACATAAGAAGGGGGTTGACTGGGGAACCAATTGATTATATGCATTTCCACTCAATCCTGCATTTGTCCAACTAACTATATCGGGGGTTTTATAATCCTGCTCTACCCCTCCAACCAAAAAACGCAGTGGTGCTTTCAAGTTCCAAAAGTAACTTCATGAAGTTTCAATTCCAAGTTTTTCCAAACAAAAGGCCAAGCATTTAGTGTAAAAAAATTAAGGACCTAAAGCAACTATACCTTGTAGAGCCCAATAACCCCTGTATAAAATGCACAAATATAGATTGTGACAAGAGGTGTAAACGATTTTGGTCTCCTAAATGGTTCGACCATATCCCATAGAATTGTCTTCTCCCACTTTGTGTACACATAATCTGCATATTTCCTCCACATATAGGTTGNCCCCAATAACCCCTGTATAAAATGCACAAACATAGATTGTGACAAGAGGTGTAAACGATTTTGGTCTCCTAAATGGTTCGACCATATCCCATAGAATTGTCTTCTCCCACTTTGTGTACACATAATCTGCATATTTCCTCCACATATAGGTTGCCATTTCCACGATATCCTTTAATTATCAGCTGAACTGCATGGAGGAAATATCTCGTTAATTCACAGATGTAGCTGTTCACATGCAGAAAAGATGATTTATTAAGGATACTTTTGTTTAATGCAGGACATATCAACATTAGATAGCTCGTATTATTGCAAGTTTATCGGCATAAAAGCAGTCTTACAAATCATTCTATAAAAACATAATGTTAATATGGATCAAGACTATACTAAAAGAACCAATATTACGAGGAGGAAAATCTGCAAGAGAAAAGAGTAGCATTTTTGGTAACATTAGGGAGATCTGTTATTATAAATATCATTACATAAAAAAATTGCTACATTTTCTCTGTAAAACAATAAAATCAAGAGGAGAAGAGCGAACAAAATTTACCACCTAATCCCTAGGTTGAATGAGTTTGTTCTACGCTCTTAGTTAAATGAATGTCACAGTCTAATAATTGTAAGTTTTGTAGTTTGGATGGAGTTCATGCTTTTTTAGATAAATATATCCACATCAATCAAATATTTGAATCACTTATAAAAATGTTTATTAATTGGCATTTTTTTTTCTTTCTAATTTACCGTTTTTTGCAAACGAAAGGAAATCTTAAAAAGACATATTTGAAAGTTTGAATGATTCGGCATTGTGACAATTTGAATAATACAATGTTAATAAATATATTAACTCGTCTGCACTATTGTTGTTTTCTGCAGCCATAGGTCATAAAATTATACACATAGTTTGTGTCACTATTGATCTTTTTAACCCCGATAATAAAATTTTATGGTAAAAGCCCTTGCCAAAAATTTAAAATACAGTGGGCAGGATTTTGCTCGATCGTCACATTGGGCATACTCTTACAACACGCAACAAATCTGGTGATCGTCAGAATTTTGCCACAAAATTCTAGCTATCACCAGAGTTTTGAGGCTAAAATTCTTGCGATGGAGTAATGGACTGCTGTTTGATTTAAAATTCTGCCCATCGTACTTTAAAATTTTGGCGATCAATGAAAATCCTGCTTTAAAAATCTAGTGCGGGGCTATTTTCCCAAAATATTTCTTAATTGGGTTAAAATATAAATAGTGGTTTAAACAAGAGAAAATTATACTATATAGCCACTCTAAAAGTAATAACCACTAAAATATTTTTTTTATATATTAATATATAATGTACAAAAAAAATATTTTATACATAATCAATATATATTTTTTGTATATCAGCTAACTTCTTCAGAGTTCCTCGCGACGGAATCAAAATTTATCTTCATCTGTTCCGCTCTCTCTCTCTAGGTATTTTTCTCTCTCAATATCTAATTTGACTAAAACCTTATTATCTTTTGCATTTGGCTATGATTTTGAATGGTATAATACAAATTATAGTGAATTTTGCTGTGTTTGCTTCAATTCTTTAACAAACTCTCAGCTCCGGTATCAGTTGTTTTTTAGTTATTATAATTTGCTATAGTTGTGATGGTGTGTTAATTTGCTGTAATAATCAAAATTCTGAATAAATGGCTAATTACGAAAAGCTCTCATGAGTAGTTATGCCACTGGAGGCAGTGGGTACACGCCTTAATTACTTGTTTAATGATTTATTTTTTTTGTTCCTGTTTTGAGAGCTGATTGTGTGTTGATTTGAAATTGAACTGATCTCTAATTATATTTTTATGTGTTAATGTGGGTTTTCTTGCTAGTACTGGAATTCTATTTCTATATATATTTCCTCTATAGAAGACCAAAAAATTGATTAACTTTTAGCTAATTATAAAAATTAGGGTTTAAATTACTGAAATCTATTTTTTTTCTAAGTGAAGTTAGTTTGTAATGCAATTGAAAATAGGAAAGTTAAAAGAACTTATATATAAAGTATGGTGGAGGATTTGACACGGGTGCGGTGGAATTTAGGAGGATCCGAACAACATAGCCTATAACGACCATTAATGTTGAAAAAATCAGAAATTAGATTTTACCTTGTAGGTTGCTGATGATAACATGGAGATAGTTAAACTTCAAGAATACTCTGTCCTACTTAACAGATCTCCCTAATGTTACCAAAAATGCTACTCTTTTCTCTTGCAGATTTTCCTCCTCGTAATATTGGTTCTTTTAGTATAGTCTTGATCCATATTAACATTATGTTTTTATAGAATGATTTGTAAGACTGCTTTTATGCCGATAAACTTGCAGTAATACGAGCTATCTAATGTTGATATGTCCTGCATTAAACAAAAGTATCCTTAATAAATCATCTTTTCTGCATGTGAACAGCTACATCTGTGAATTAACGAGATATTTCCTCCATGCAGTTCAACTGATAATTAAAGGATATCGTGGAAATGGCAACCTATATGTGGAGGAAATATGCAGATTATGTGTACACAAAGTGGGAGAAGACAATTCTATGGGATATGGTCGAACCATTTAGGAGACCAAAATCGTTTACACCTCTTGTCACAATCTATGTTTGTGCATTTTATACAGGGGTTATTGGGGCAGCCATCACTGAGCAACTCTACAAGGTATAGTTGCTTTAGGTCCTTAATTTTGTTACACTAAATGCTTGGCCTTTTGTTTGGAAAAACTTGGAATTGAAACTTCATGAAGTTACTTTTGGAACTTGAAAGCACCACTGCGTTTTTTGGTTGGAGGGGTAGAGCAGGATTATAAAACCCCCGATATAGTTAGTTGGACAAATGCAGGATTGAGTGGAAATGCATATAATTGTGTCATGTTAGACTGCTCGTGCTAACTTCCTTCACCTTGCTACTTTGTTTAGAAGAGGGTCGTTGAGTCAATGATGAGTTATTATAAATCAAACTCCTAACTTTTGCTACTTACTCATTTATACATGGAAAGTGCGACTTTAAAGAATGGAAGTTCAACACATTATTTACTTGTCAGAAAAAGAGCGCCACTCATTATTCAGAAGTTTCATTAATTTGATTTTTATAATAAATGGTTCTAAACTATGATTGATCATTTTTTAGTTCATGAACAAGCTTCAGTTATCAGTTTAGTATTTTCAATGTGCAAATCCTATGGTCGGGACTCGTACATAGTTTGATTTGACCTCCCTATCTGAAAAGATATTGCAGTCAAGGTAGGAGAATCATCTGAATTTGTCTTGTCTTATCTAGTCACATTGATCCATTTCTTTTGCTGCTTCTCCTTTGATCTAATTCTTATTTTTCAGTATGCATCTGCTTTTCAGAATAAGTTATCTTTCCCTCTGGCTATAGCCTTTTTTTAAAATGTTTTGTATAAGTCATTGCCATTTCAGAAGATAAGTAGCCTACTCATGTTTTGTATCATATGAGCTATATAGAAGTACTCATTTGTTCAAAGTAGATGACTTTCCCTTGTATATTAAGAATCAAATTTACTTTTTCAGCCTTTAGTTTACTGTTTGTTCTAAATTCTTGTCTTAATGTAAGAGCTTTTCCCCACTATAATAACAGGAAAAATACCAGGAAGAACACCCTGGGCAAGAAGTGCCTCTAATGAAGCCGATGTTTTATGGCGGCCCTTGGAGAGTAATGAGAGGTGATGTTCCTCCTATGGGAAAGTTCAATCTCTGAGCAGCAGTCAGTTGACAGTTATAAGGTATCTAATATAAGCTCTATGAAAAGGAAAAGTAGCGAGATATGTTGTAGGTGCACACAAGTTCAAAATTCTATCTGTGAACCAAGTTTAGTATATACGTAGAGAAGGGTAAAAGGGCATACCCATTATCCACTGAAAAGGGAAAGATACCACTTTCTTTGCATTTATTGTGTGTTTATATTTGACCGATCCTCACTTGTAAAGATTTTAATCTAGCTGTTTACTATGTTGTCGGGCGTTTTTCTGATCCTTACCGGTTGTTTAGGGCAAGTCTGGTAGTATCTCGTTGTTTTTCCTAGAGTGCTAGTATTGCGGCTACTTCTTACTAACTTCCGCTTCAGTTTTTCGCTGCTTGTGCCTTGTTGCTATTGCTAGTGCTGTTGCTTTCCTTCATCTATTTTTTCTAGTTCTTACATTGTTGTTATTATTTTTCTGGCTATTGTTATTGATATTTGATTGTTTGTATTCATCCTCTCGAGCCGAGGGTCTTTTGGAAACAACCTCTCTACCTCCCCAAGATAAGGGTAAAGTCTGTGTACACACTACCCTCCTGGACCCCACTTGTAGGGATTGATTTCACTGGGTTTGTTATTGTTATTACTATGTTGTGTGAGATAGATGGGTTATGAAAAGTAATGAGAAGTGACTTGAGCAGCATTTGCGCTACAGCTACACTATTGCAAACTACTCTAAGAGAAGTAGTTATATTAGAAACCATAATACTACTAACAATTAACAACTTAAGAGTTACTGCTGTCTATATAGGTTTCTAATGTTTACTAATCTATTTTGGTCCTTCCCCATCTCTAATTTCCCCTTGTCTTTCTTCTTATTTAAATTGGTGATATTCTTTTGAAGAGAAATTTCATTACATTCCTAGTTTTTTATTTGTGTATGTATACAATATCAAAGCAAATGATTTAACACGGCTGAATTTCCCAGAATGTATAAAGTTTGATTTCCATCAATGTCCGAAAATTTTGTCCAAAGGACATATAGTACTTTAGTGGAGTGTTCTCTATTTACAATTGCTGTTGCAGATTATTGAAATGACCTGTCAACCAAGGTTTATAGCTTAGTGGGTAAAAATTTCACGGGGCGCCCTATTTGGTCGCCCCCATTTAACCTATACCCATTTTTTTAAAAACTTGTAACTTGTACCTACTTTTTAAATAACTTCAGCCCCCTTTCTCCTTCTCCTTCTCCTCCTTCGTTTTCTTCTTCTTCTTTCTTCTGCTGCTGTTGGTGCTGCTATGGAACTAAAGAAGGAGCCATATGTGTCAATGTCACACGTCTTTGGTGTCTGATTACGTGTGTGACCCAGTCGATTCAACTGTCTTAGACCTTAGAACAATAAGTTGATCAGCTAAAGAAAAGAAATGTAGAATCTAAATCATAAAAATAGTACAAAAGATAAAACAATATTTCCCCGGTGTAAATATCCTACGACACTTCCCTTAGGAACTTAGACCAAGTAAAAATAGAACTTTAACATATTATCTTTAGGCTAGTACTGAACAGGTTTTACTCCTCCTCCTTGTTCTTTATATAGTGTTGAAGTTTTTACAAATGAACTAAATAACTTCAGCTCTAGAGCTCTAGAGCTAAAGTTTGCCAGTTACAGAACAAAACTTTAGCTCTAGAGCTGAAGTTCGCCAGTTACAAAAACAAAAACTTCAGCTCTAGAGCTGAAGTTCACCAGTTACAAAATAAAAACTTCAGAAATAAAAACTTTAGCTCTAGAGCTTGAAATTCGCCAGTTACAAAAACAAAAACTTTAGCAATGCAAATAGAGAACAAAACTTCAGCTACTATGCTTAAGTTCAACAATTACAAACAAAAACATCGGCACACTTGGTTCAGCACATTTGCTACTTCAGGCCCGTCTACTAGAATGCTGAAGTTTTGCGTGATTGCCTTTGCCACTTCAGCCCCGTATGCTGAAGTTATGCGAAAAAACGGGTACGCTTGCAATTTTTTTTGCAAAGCAGACACAAATTAAAACGTGACACGAAAAACGGGTATAGATGCAAATGCCCCGCTTAGTGGTCTGTGAAGTGGGCTGAGAGTTGGGTTCAAACTTCAGCGAAGGCAAAAAAAATAGGTGATTTCTTTTGAGGAATTTTTAGAAACAACTATTATTTAATGGATATTAACTTCATATAGCTACCATATACATAATTACTTCCTATAGCTACTATTTAGTTGTTATGCGACTGTATTCACTGTATTTGCGCTAATGTATTCATGAATACAGTAGTGGAATTTCGCTTAAAAATAGTGGATTCCAGCCACTGAACAATGGAAAGAGGATCAATTAGTGTCTATCACTCCTATTAACTCAACAAAATCAATTCTACATAAATTATGTTGCTACTATGTTGCATTCCATGTATTCGCGCGACTGTATTTATAAATATGAGGTTATCCGCCTAAAAAAATGGATTACAGCTGTTTAATTGTATTCGCGCAAATGTATTTATAAATACAGTGGGGTAATCCGCCTAAAAAATAGTGATTACGGGTGTTTAATAACGGAAAGCGCAATATTGAATTGTATTCAATTTCACTATATTGAATTCTATTGTATTCAAACAACAAAAAATCAAGAAATAGGGTGTATACCGTTTTATTCAATTCGACTGTATACATTATATTCAATTCAAAAATATTCATTATTCACTATTATATATTGTATTCAATTTTACTGTATTCAAACAACAAAAAAACACAAAATACAGAAATATTCAACTGTATTAAAAAATATAAACCTTCGAAATACATAGGTATAGGCGAAAAAATAATGTATCTATACAAAAATATAATGTATTTGAGTGTACTTGTACATATTATGATGTATTTGTATCATTGTATGTGACTAAATAGCAAAGAAGAAAAATAATTCGCTGGAGATGGCGTTTTTCGGCCAAGCAAAATATTGTATACATTGTATTAAAAATAAAATAATGACGAACAAAAACTCAGCCCTCAAATCTTTTCCTGCGTAGCCATGGCCAGATTTGTTAGCCTAAGAGGATGAGTCAGTAGTGGATGATGACGCCGACAATTCTGACGACGACCACGATAATGACGTCGACGATTCTGCTGATTTGAAGGAGCAGAGAGAGGATTGAAATTCTTGCTGATAGAGAGAAAGAGAGAAGGAAGAGATAGAGAAAGAACATAATTTGCGTATTTCATGCCTCAATGGTAGGCCTATATTGCTATAAAATAGAAAAGGTAGTTATAAGTAATAATATTTTGAAATGTTTTGGTTTATAATAAATAGTTTGTAATAGTTTGCTATAGGAGGTAAATTTCCATTTCTTTTCATATGTCGAGGTCTTACTAGACTGAGTTATCTAATACTTGTGTTAATGAGAGGCAGCAAGTACCTCGTTAAATTAATTTAGGTGCGCGTAAGCTAACCGGGATACCACACTTATCAAAAAAGACGGGGGCAAGTGCATAGATAGTCATTCTCAGGGATGCTATTTAGAGATTAGTCAGTATTTATTTTGTGTTGAAATGTTAAACTAAAAATTTTAACTTCAGAACAATTTAAAATATTTTTGTTAGAAAAATTGGAATTCAGGATGTACTGGCTAATTTCTAAATAGTAGCCCTTTAGAATGGCTATCTGGGGTCGTTTCTACAAAATGATTATTGAAATGACCTAACCACATTGGGACAACTCTTACTAAGTTTCATAAAGGAAATTTTACCTCCTATAGCAAACTATTACACTCTATTTATTGTAAACTAAAACAATTTCAAAATATAATTACCTATAGCTATATTTTTTATTTTATAGCAAAATAAGTATTTATTTTATACCCTACCATTGAGGCGTAAAATATACCAGTTATGTTCTCTCTCTATATATATATCTATTAGCAAGATTCTCAATCCTCTCTATTCTCCCTCAAATCTCTCTCCCTTTTCCATCAAGGCACCCGTAGTAACAACTATTTTTGGTGGCGACGATAGACTTTCTGAAGCTAAGAGAATAGATCTGATGATGGTCGTGTCTAACATGTAACCATGACGAGTGATTCTGTATAGGAGGAGGACTCCTACTTACGATGTGAAACTATAAATAGCCTAAGTAGTTGATGAGCTTTACAACAATAGCTTGTAACTCGTGGAGACTTGCTCCCCTGTGCATTGTTTCCATAAGAACTAAAAAAGAGAAAAAGTGAGGAACATTCTCAAGTAACATGTGAGCTCACAGAAGGAACTAACTGGGAAGTTCATCTCGTTGGCATTATTGGAGGTAAGCTTTTGGCTTTCCTTCGAATTCAGAAGGAAGGGAGCTGCTAGTTGTCAACCTTTAAGTACCCTCTAGCTTCTCTTGGTAGTGAGTTAAAGCTGAAAAACTCCTTAGTTGCGTCCAATAGGTGATTGTATCCATCTAAACGATCAGCAACACCAGTGGCTGCTCTGTAAAAGTGTGTCATCTTGACATCCTCACTTTGAATCAACTTTTTAATCTCTTCAATAATAGGTCCGTATTGCCAAGAAAGTCTGGTAACTCCCTTGACAACATTCACAATAAGTAAAGAGTCGGCTTCCACCCAAATTTTCCACCTTATGCAAGGAGATAAAGGATCAGATTAAGCTTTGAAACACTTTTGTTCTTTAAAAATTCATCACCTTTTATTTTATCCAAAATCAACTCCTGGCTCTCTGCTTCCTCTAAGGAGAATAACTGATTTATATAGCGGATTCTTTCCTGCAGGACCTACTGTCAGAGTACACAAATGAGGATGAACAGAGCAGGAGGTTTGAGACGCATAATTTCAACTGTTCATCGCTAAATCTGAAGACCATCAAGTTCATTAACTTTGATGGACCACTAAGTGGAAATAAATCTGTACTGCCATTTGTAAAATATTTGCTCAAGAATGCAATAGTGCTAGAGAAGTTCTTCATTGCTGGCACCTGGCAGATTCAGAAGGAGTGATGTGTCTCGGGATTATGTTAAAATGAAACAGGATTTCCTAAGCTTTCCAAGATCCTCTCCGCACGCTTCAATTGTTTTTTCTTATCGATAATCTTATGCCCCTCTCTTTTGTATTAATTACAGCATACATAACAGCTTTTTACTTTATGTTTGAAACTGGTTTGTAGCTGATAGACAAGGTTAAGATTCTATTTATCAGTATCCAAGTAGTTCTTATCATGTCTAAGCACAATGTGTTTATTCACTTTATTCTCTGATCATGTAAGAAAGCTTCCTCTAAGGTTGAAAGTCATTTTGCAAAAATATTATCTCAGTATTCATTACGACTTGATAAGATTGTTTCTGTTGGCATATGTTATATGACTAATATTTCAAGGTAAGATGAAGTGAATGCCAAGAATTCCATCCACATGAAGATCCTGCATTGGCAAAAACTTATAGAATAAACTCTGCTAACTCTTAAGTACTACTTTGGGTCAGATATGATGATGAGAAATCCATTAAGGAGGTGGTTTAATTGACCATTTGTGCGTGTGTCTATGTCACATTCAGCTAATGCTCTTGGCTAAATTATTTTCTTGTTAAAATGGAACTCTTGCATATGTGCAATGTCTAGGTGACACTCACTTTCAGGTTATGATGATGGTCATTACGAGGAAGAAGGACAAAACAATATTCGGGCATGAGAAAAAGTAGCAAAAGAAAGTTGATTCAGGCTGCACTTTTGTCTCTGTTAGTTGGGCTAGTTGCTTAATGGATATCTGATATACTTTTTTTATGCAGGCATCAGGCGTGGTTTATCTGCTCCCTGTTAACCTTACTTGTCCTCATGGTCAGCCTCGTGTGCAGAACTTCAGTGATTTTCTCATATGTCATAAAGTACCAATATAGTCCTGGCAATGTTGTCTATAATTGATACCTTTTCTCATGGATTTCCTTTGGGATGGCTTTTTGTCGTCAAACATATAAAGCTAGAGCAGTTTTTTTTTTTTTATCTATTCATGATGTTGGTAAAGAGTAACATTTCAATTTTGTGCGGTAATATGAAGTCGCAGAGAAGAATCTTTGATGGATTTATTTCATTGTTAATTTTCAGTTATTTGCTTGTTTCACCTTTGACCAATTTCAGAGATGTGACATCTCCTATAGTCTACTGTATATGATCTGGAGATTAAATGCTGCGTCACTTTCTTTTTTTTGATGATGGTCGTGTCCAGACCAGCTTGCACGCATCTTGACTATCACCAAGTATTTGCTACCTCCCATCAGCATAGGTACCGGATAACTCAGCTGCCAAGGCCAATGTTGTGTTAATTAATTTAAAAAATTACTGCACGTTTACTTAGGTCAGAGATTTCCTCGTTGGTACATTAATAAGAACCTTCGTAACTTGGGACTATCTGAAATCTCTGGTCTCCATCTTCAAAGGAACTATTGGTGTTGTGCAGTCTGCCGAAACTAATCATTGCATCTATTCGTTGAACCCGTGCTTGAAGCATTTCTCTGAACTGGATGTCATTGCCACTGGAGTTTTGGATGCATTTTTCCCTGCAGCAACACGTGAATATGCTCCCCTAGTTGAAGAGGAGTGGAAGATCCTGCTATACAGGAAACATACAAGAGAAGAAATGAGCTTCATTTCCTTCCAGATGCAGCAGATTACTTCTTGAGCAAGGTACTTTTCGGAGTCTTGTTGAATCAAGCTGTCCAGTATAGTCGCACTTGTTACCATTATCAAAAAAATAAATAAAGTTTGGCTCTAATATCTCAAAGTGTATGGGCAACGAGTTGTTTCATTTATCTAGTTGATATGAGTGGTGGATCATATGTCGTCCATGTGTATTTTGCCCTGCCCGCCTGGTAACATAGTGTTCTCATGCATCAGCTATATACTGTTACAAATCGTTATCGACTTTCTCCTTAATGTTTCTACTTATTCATTTATTCTCTTTTAAGTGTGCCATGTCAAGCTCAATTTTGGCTTTGTCCAGTTACTAGCAAAGGCAGTTGCTGCCTGAAGGTCATTTCTTTTACCAAGTAATATATAATCTGGATCCTTTTCTTGTGAAGTATTACATGTGAATATGAAACCAATTTTACTTCGTTTTCTTGATTACATCTTCTATAACAGATTCTGTATTTGATTAATCGCTTACATTCATGAAGATAGACAATGGATACTGAATTGACTTGTTTTCTGGCCTCATAGTTTGTTGAGGTATCAAGCAATGAGTGTGAACCTTCAGATCGAGATATACTGTATGTTGAAGGGGATGGTTTGGCTTTTATGGAGTTCTCCTCGGATGATTGTTGCCTAATGGGTGAAACATATGGAGACAATCTGGATGCCCCCGCACCACCTCTGACTAGGTAACCATTATCTTCTGACTAGGATAGTTACATACTTACATTCATTGGCGTTAAGTGTTATATTAAAGTATCTTTTTAGTTTTAGCTGTTGAGAATTCTGTAGAGGTACTCTAGTTTGACTGCATGTTTTTGATGGGCAGCGTGAATCCGTGAATTTATTATTTGTCGTGCATGCCATTACCACCTCATGATGATTAAAATATTCTGCAAAATCTGTACATCGCTGACTACTACTATACCAGTATTTCCCTGATGCAACTTTAAATGTCACAATTAACAGGCATGTTTTCTCTAAGAGTACTAAGGGGGTCAACATTGGCAGTTGAGATGGCCTGGGAAATAGCTGCAGAACATGAGGTGCTCCTTTTTGTTTCCAGTGCGTGACTCACAATAGTAACCAGTCACCCGCTATGAAGCTTTAAGACCTCTATGCTTCTCTCACAGGTAGAAAGCTATTTGTGTGGCAAGCCGGGCAAGATGAGGCATTCAAGTATTACAAAAGGATCAATCATACTTATATCATCCTTTTGTATTATATGCCGAAAATTTGAAGTTTATGGGTTTTGAACTTGCTGTCGAACACATAACTTGTTGTTTACAATTGAATATTTACGCATATTTAATGGATCTAAAAAAATATAGGGTCTAAGCAAAAGCTATTGGGTTCGTTCGAAATTTCGAACCCATAACTTATACTCTCCTTCCGCCCCTGCCTTGTACTGTTATATTCCTTTGCTGTAATTTTCCTATTTAAAGACTAAAAAATGTGTTCTCAAGATGACATGCATGTCAACAAGAGAATTAAAGCATTAGAGGGGAAACCAAAAAATTCAAATCGATTATTCACTGCAACAATAGATGAGCAAACATGTATGCATAACCTACAAAATTAAGAGCTTTATATAGTATACAGAAATCTACAGTAAATTGAAGAGTTTGTGTGATTATGCATGTGAATTTAATGAGTTGTCTATTGATGTGCCTTGAATAACGAAAAGATTATTAGATAATTATACTATCGTGGAAAGAGTAGGATACAATCACAATAACAAATTCAATATAATCTTATAAGGGGTATGTTGAGGGTAGTGTGTACGTAGGCCTTACCCCTACCTCGGTTCAAGAAAAAATAAAAAAAAGTAGTGGCAACATGCAGCAATGTCAGCAAGATAACAAGAAAATCGACGCGAAAATACAATAGATAGTAATAAAAATCTTCAAATAACAAAGTACAAGACTAAATACTAATACTACTATTATGGACAAGAGAAACGCATGACTACCCACTAATTATAGTTAAAAGTTAAAGGGCAAAATTACACCTTTTTCCCGAATATTGGACACGTGGAATTCACTTATTTCATGATGAGCTCTTTCAACTGCAAGGACAATTACGATGCAATTTGTTAATAACATGGCATGAACAGATCAACCTGTAATGAAGGATAATATTGAGCAAATCCAAATAGTATATATATGAAAATTTTGAACCATTTTCCCTATACAAATTGAGACGTATACGATGAAATAGTGATACTAATATTGACTAAACTAAATGGTAAAGCTAGTCATGCGGTGTTTTTGCAACAATTAGAACAATGAAGATCAAAAGCATAAAGCAAGTAAATTAGCAATAAGTGCAAATTTTATCCAGCAACCTTTGTTAAGAAGAAACTTAAATCAGCACTGAGTTATAACTGAAGGAGTTCTTTCATATATTCCATATTAATTAAGAAATTATACAAAAGCAAAGAAATGATAGGATTATAAGGAACATTCACAAAATAAAATCTCCAAAAAATTGTAGCATAAAAATACTTAATTTTCGTACAAACTTATTCCAACCAAACTCCACTAAACCTTTTTTTTTTCTTTCGTAAAATAATCTTATAATTTTTTTTTATTTTTTTTTTGGCAAAAAGTAATATTTAAAATTTAGCAATGACCACCTAAATACGTTTCCCGGCTAGGGGTGTCAAATGTGGATGTGAGGTAAAACAAGTTTGATTGGGTTAAGATAGAGCAGTTATGTAGGCGGAGCTAGGATTTGAAACTTATGGATTCGATATTTTAAATCTTTTAAGTTATTAGATTCTAAATTAATAATTTATATATATTCAATAATTTCTTAAGATAAATACATGATTTTACCGAAGCCTTAGCTTCTACTCTCCTTCGCCCGGCATATAGGCTAAACAATGAACTATAATCAAACCCGCACGATTTATGATCATTTTCTATTTATTTATTTTCCTATAAACAAAAGCTTATTTGAATTGTTGTTACATATCGTTTCATAATGTATCATATTGTATTATATTATATTTGTACTGTATTATTTGATGAATACAACGTTTTGATAGATGGTATCATTATTTGCCGTCATTTCATGATGTCTTGCACCAATAATATGAAAATAAACTTGCAATATTACTAAAAAAAATAGGATAAATAGTAGAGTTATTACATAAGAAAGTTGAATAAAGGAAAAAAATATATAATTATTTAATAGAGAAGGACAAAATGAGAGAAAAAGTAAGGCAACAATACGATATAATATAATACTACCAAATTGACCCCTCGCATAGCGGGAGCCTTGACGTAACTGATAAAGTTGTTGCCATGTGTCCAGGAGGTCATAGGTTCGAACCGTGGAAACAAACTCTTGCAGAAATGCAGGGTAAGGCTACGAACAATTTTCCTTCTGCAAGGGTAGGGCTACGTACAATTTTCCCGAATAGCGAGAGCTTAGTGAACCCCGCGAATAGCGAGTATAGTGAGAGCTTAGTAGACCCTGCGTGAATAGCAAGAGCTTAGTGAACCCGCGAATAACGAGTATAGCGAGAGCTTAGTGGACGCCGCGCAGAGCTTAGTGCAGGATGCTGCCTTTTTACCAAACTGAAGTAACAAAATATTTTTCTTTTAATTTTATATGACTTCATCTTACCAATTAGAAAAAGTTACTGTTTCAATATTTTGCTAAATTTTCATATGGCTCAATTTAGCCTTTACAAGAACTGAACTAGGTTTACTCCATGGAAATGGAGAGGAAAGTCAAGGCGAGAGGAGTCAGACTCAGCGATTTGCCCGACGGAATTCTACTCCATATCCTCTCTATGTTGTGGTGGGACTGTAAAGCAGTTGTGCGCNATATTTTGCTAAATTTTCATATGGCTCAATTTAGCCTTTAGATGAACTGAACTAGGTTTACTCCATGGAAATGGAGAGGAAAGTCATGGCGAGAGGAGACAGACTCAGCGATTTGCCCGACGCAATTCTACTCCATATCCTCTCTATGTTGTTGTGGGACAGTAAAGCAGTTGTGAGAACCAGCGTATTATCTCAGCGATGGCGGTTTCTTTGGAAGTCCGTGCCAGTATCTCTCGATTTTGAGTCCCCCAATAGCTACAGCGAAAAGGATTTCATAGCTTCCACCAATAGAGAGCTTTATTATTGGAGGTCGTGCCAGAAAATCAGAAGATTCAGGGGCTCACTCTTTAGGTACGACAATAGTTATGTTAAAGATGTTGATTTATGGGTACATTTTGCAACTAAAATTGCTAATGTTGAAGAATTTACACTTCTATTTGATTCGGACAATCACCCAAAATATGAGCTTCCTAATTTTGCATATAAGAATACGTTGTTGATGAGTTTGATTTTAATCAACTGTGAACTGAAACCTTCTGGTAGTGTTAACTGGAGTAGGTAGTCTCATGTTTCTTTCAATCGCGTCCCTAAACTTGACGGATAATATGTTGGAGAAGATATTATCAGGTTGTCCTAACTTGGAGCAGTTGGAACTGGATTGTGTTTTGGGCATTAGTCGTTTGGAAATCAGCTCTGTGAAGCTGACATATTTGAGCCTAAAGATTACCAAAATGAGAATCCTGACCTTCGTCTCGAAATATTAGCCCCCCATATTAAATATTTTGAACTTTTGGGGTTCTGCGATGAGATACGCTTGAGAAATGTGGCTTCACTTGTCAGTGCAGTATTATGTTCAAATTTTGACTATATAGTAGATGAAGAACGCAACTCGGAGGCGGAGAATGGCTATTTGAAGGAACTTCTTCATAGTGTTGCCAATGTCGAGGATCTTGAATTGGGTCCCTGGGGCATCGAGGTTCATTCATACTCTTCACTGTCTGAAATTCAGACTTTTTATTGAATTCATCTGCTTAGTATCATTAATGCCACTCCTTAGTATAATTTGATAACTAAGTTGGTAATTGAAGAATTACATTATCATGGCCAATTTGGTTGGACAGTGGCAGGTGACTGAAACTAGGCCTCTTAGCAATACTTTGGAAGAAGAACTGTGAAAATAAAGAGTTTGTAATGGATAGTAGGGGTGTTCATGGTTCCCTTTGGTACAATTTTATCTTAAAAGGATGACATACCAATTAAGTCGATTTTCTAAATGTTTAACCAAATCAAACCAAACATAGTACAAATATATCGGTTTTGGTTTCGTCGGTTTTTGTCGGTTCGGCGATTTCTTCTAGTTTATGTATAATGTTTTTGAACACTAAAGTCAGAAAGAGTTTTGGGTGCCAAAACATTAAATTTTTCGGCGCCCGAGTGGAGAAAATAAAAGAATAAGATTAATGACTAGTGAAATAAAAAACAGATAAAGAAAGGAACGGAAGAGAGGAAAAGGATTATAAACAAGTTGGAACAAATAAAAACATAAAACGCCATGTTATAAATAGAAGAATCAAACTACTTTACTAGCAACAATTAAGACGCAATACCTATAGTTCTCCTTGGGTTCACTACTTAAAGTCCGAGAACGCAGTCCCAATTCTCATGTTAGTTTTGCGTACCAACGGATGTTGGGTTTTCATTGTAATTGAATCAAGAAACTAGAGATGAAAATCAATACTTGGATGCTGCTGTTACTTCCTTTGTCTTGTATTTCCTTACTAATTTCTTCCTCTTTTCACCCCGAATTATAATAGTACAAGTGTTAAACCTCTTTAAACATTCAGCGTTAGAAAATTTCAAAGCTTGAAAAGTAGTATTTTGTGTGTGTGTGTGTTGTTTTTGTTTTTATTTTTTTAAAGCTAAACCAAACCAAATATTGTCAGGCTCTTATAATTTAATGCCAAAACATAGATCGGTTTATTAAGTCGTTTTGGTTCAATTTTTCGATTTTCTTTGAAACCCCCTAATTGACAAAATAACCCATAAATCTGGATTGATTTACTCTCATCATGCTTTTAACTCATGTGAATGGGTTCTTCAAAGTGTGTAAAAGGTTCATCTTTGGATTTCCAAACCAACCTTGAACACTTTGATGTGGCAAAAACTAGTCGTATGTCCAAGTTATTCTTCTGAAATATTCAGTAATCAGCATGTCATTAATTAACAGTGTTGCATTTCCTTGTTTTGACATATTTGGTTTATAAGTGCCTTTCCATACTGGAGTTGAAAGGCTGGCAATCATCACCATCAAGCCGGAAATATTTAAAACTTGACACAGCCTTAGAACAATCGGACGTCCTTGGAATTTGCAGCTTTCTACAGAGTTCGCCGGATCTTGAGACATTGGTCATTGACTGGTATAATAAAAAACGAAGAGTAAGTTTCCTGTAGACCTATATTTTTGTTACTTCATGTTATTAATATCAAACAACTATTAGTGTAAGAAG